AAGCGTCCTCCGTAGCCCCGGCCCCCCCGTAGTCGGGCGCTGAGGGACGGTGGGGGTGGCGGGCGTTGCCCGCCGGTTGCGGGGGCCCGGGGACGGGCACGGCCCCGCTCCCGGCCGGCGGGGGTGGTGGGGGGGCTCGCCCGCCACGGGGGTCTGCGCAGTGCCCTGCCTGCCGCGGACGGGGAAGCCACAGTCAATCAACAAAGTTGCCGTGCCGCGTGTTTTCTGCCGTGTGGCTGTGGGAGAGTGAGGAGAAGGCGCAGGAGGAACTCCTTGCTTGGCTTGCAGTTTAGCCAAGTAAAACCCAGCACGGGAGCGGCAAACGCGGTGTCACGGGCGTCTAACGGGGACCACGTAAACAGTTTATTTTTGATCACTGATGGCTTGTTACAGCTAAGCCGTTTTGGCAAATTTGTCAGATTTCAACTTTCTGACACTGCCTTTCCCGTTGGAGTGTTGGATCGAGGTCTCGCTGTACGGCATGCGCTGTCCTTGATGTGTCTCCTTATCCTCCCTGTTGAGTGTGATTGTATCTGAATTCATTATCTTTAACCACAGATGAACATCGAACGAGCACATGGAGTTCCAGACGCTGATCCTCCGAGAATCCATGTGTGACAGAAAGGATGGATAATCTTTTGGCTCAGTTCCAGACTGGTGGAGCCTGCATGTGGTTGTTTCAGGCTGACGTACAAAAAGGGTGCAGCATTTATTCTGCCAGGGCTTTACATGCAACATTTTATTTCACTTATGTATCTGTGGCAACGATCCTATTACCTTGTTTCTGATATGCCTGACTGCTGCATAGCAGATCATGCCTGGAAAATATTGTGGTTTTGAAGTCAGAAATTAACCTGTTAGTGCTGGGACTTGTTAAAGTTGGGCTCTGATCACAAGAATTCACAGGCTCATACTACCTTGAATTCGATTAAAGTGGGTCTTCAGGACCTAAGTACCACGGTAGGTCTGGGCCCAGCTGGTTAGGATTCTGAAAAACAGCTGAATGATAATCAAATAGGACTCCAGTGACTGCAGCCCACCAAGTTAAAAAAATTAATTTAAAAACATGGTAAACCAATGTGTTTTCTTATTAAAGGCAAACTCAAGTCTTAAGATACGCATTAAACTTCAGTAAGATACACATGGCCTTGTAGTATTCTTACATACTCTACATGAATCGGAAATACTGTACGTGAATCAGGAGTATAGATGTTGTGAGCATGTGATGGCCCAGTAGAGGATGAAATACGGATACTGAAAACAAAGATCAGTGACTTGACTCTCTCTTCCCAAACCTATTTCTCTCCCTCTATAAATAAGTTTGGTGCACAGAATGCAAATTTACGTCATGGCTTTATTGCTTCCTCTTCGCAGAGGAGGATGTTCATTCGAGTTGCTGCTTTCGAGTTCCACCTGAAGCTACAAAGCATTGCAATATTCAGCTGTTTCATGTTCACACACCGACGTTTTAAGTCATTTCTCTTTCCAGTGGCAGTGATGGGAGCATGGGGTGAAGATCAGGTGAGCGTTTCTATACCTGGCAGGAACAGGTCCGCCTGGCAGGGTGCTTAGGATGAGGGGGCAGATGTCTTGAGTTGAGAGGTAGCGTCTTTAATGGCCTGTGAGCCTTTCTGTATCTGAGTGAACTGCTGAAGATACTGACAGTCTCATGGCTGCTGCATTGATTGGCAACTGGCATTTTGTCAGAAACCAAGGGATTTGGAAGGCTCCATGTTCAGTGTGCTCTTCTATTTGGTCCCCTTCTGCAGGGACAGTCAATTTAATTATGGAGGTATGGACTAGAATTTTTGGCAGTTATCATTATTAGCGATAATGATAAATTATCTCTCTATTGGCTTAAGCTATCCATTTGTGTCCTGCTTCAGCAATTACATTTTAAGCTTGCAAGTGATTGCTAGAATGCTCACTTTTGAACACACTGGTTCTTTTTATATGCAGCACAAAAATAAGCCATTTTGTGGACACAAAAATGCTTGGTATTGGTAGGACATCGTGCGCTTGGAGTAACATGCAGTTGTAAGGAAGATGAGCATGGAAAACCAGGATCCTGAGTTCTGATCTCAGCCTGATCTTGACTCGCTGGGTGATATTAGGTGAGTTACTTGACCCTTTTAGTGCTTATCGCTCTATAAACCATGACTTGCACATCCTGTGTATGAGGATGTTTATTCAGATTTTAAGAACATCTTTGTGTGAATATTCCCAGTGCCATGTTACATCAGTGATAAGGTTTATATTTTGCATAACTGATCACCTTATGATCCTCAATGTTTTTAACTACTGTATTGATTTCCATTTCTAACAGACAAAAATATGTCCTTGGCACTTAAATGTTCCAGTTAAATGCTATATCACACCTACCTTTTTCAGTGCAGTAATATTAAAAAAAAAACCAAACCAAACCCAAAAACCTCAAAAGCAAAGAAGCTGTCCAGCCAACTGACAATTAAATTGACACATTTTTTCTGCTGAATGGCCATATTCTTAGCTGGCCTCTACCATCTTGAGCGCATGTGAAGAAAAAAAAAAAAAAAATCACGGTGTAGTTGCTTGGCTGGGCTTTGAGATTGCTTTGTGTCAGTGATGCAATGACCAAAGTTCAGCTCAGTAGTTTTGATATGACCAGTGTGAGGGAGGTCAGGTTCAGGTTACAGTTTTGGTCTGCTGTATTTGGTCCCTGTTGTGTCGTGTCGTGTCATGTCCCCCCTCCTGAAAAAGAATGTGTTGAGAAGTGTTACAGGTATTTTCTCCTGCCCAACCTCCCATACTTCTAGGGTCCTCTCCTTTCTACCTGAACTCTCCTGTGGGATTGACAGTTTTTCAGCTTCTTGCTTCTTTGTTGCTGTTATGTATTACAATTCCCCCCAAGTTTGTGAAATATCCCATGTTTATTTTCACTTTCTTGTAGGGGTTGCTTCCCAGATACACTTAATTTGGTTTGAGAAGTTAGAATTACCTGTAACCATCAGGTAAAACACTAGTCTTGAATGGATGAAAATGACAGCCACCTGCTTAGAAGGGCAGTTGTTAGCTGTAACTAAATGTTATGTCACGATGCTAGAATATTTTACGAGGTATAGAACTTGGACAGGCAGTACAGAAACCGTCCTCCATTATAACATTGCCAACAGCTGCAGATATGAGTTTACGTAGGGCAAAAAGTAGGAATCTGTGTCAAAGAATGTCTTTTTTGCACTGTTCCTGCCACTGGTTCTGCAAGGGCATGTATATATATTATTTTTTTTATAGCTACCACCAGTCAAGGAGATAGATACGAATGCTAGCCAAACATGATTCAGATTAGAACAAGACTAAAAAGAGATAAGACAAACAACATGTCTCTAATATTTGCTGGTTCTCCAATAACGGCTTACGTAAAAGAAAGTTGATTATCAGTTATTCATCAGAGAATTTATATATCAGTAGAAACACATAGGAGTGCTAGATATAACGGTACCAAAATCAAAAGGGGAATTAGGTTCATATATATACCAAACTTCAAGCAGATCTATGTAACATTAAGAATCCCACCCACCTTTACCACTTCTTTACTGACACACATCCTGTATTCCATTAACCACGTAATTCACCCCTCGCTGCACTCTTCATTTGTTGTAGCCTCTCAGTTAAATGCACTATTTCTATATAAAGCGCATCATTAATGAGTTTTATTCACAGTTTGCCACTGAACAGCCTAGAGCAGGAGTTGGAGTGACTCAGAGTAGGAAAGGCGGTGCAGCATGCAACTCCCTGTGCATGAATTTGCAGACATAATGAGTCTCATTCTGATCTTCTGAGTTTAGCTCCACTAATTTCATGTTTTCCACTGGTGCAAATCAGATCTCTGCTGATGTCTCTGATGCTGCTGGTGATGGGTGCTCTGAGTTCGTCATGGCCTTATTCCTTGTGAACACTCTTGACTGTCTAGGACCAGTCCTGGATGTGAGGCAGAAGACGTTTACCAGTGTGGTTAGAAGCTGCCCTCCCTTCATGCGCTCCCTTCTTGGCATGTAGTTTGCAGGAAGGCATCTCTGGACAGAGCTGCTTGTGTGGTGACACTCTTAGCCACTGCAGCTGTGGAGCTGCACGATACTTTCGCCAGTTGTATGCAGTGGTGACAAAAAAGAGAGAGAGCGAGAGGGAGAAATCCTCTAATGGTTGTGGAAAGAGTTGTTACTTGACTTTTCTAAGTTTTTCATGTATGTTTAATGTTTTCTAAAGATAATCTGATTATATAGTCTGGGAAAAATATGAGCTAAAAATATATTCAAGAGTATTGTTGAACTGCCCGCCCCTAATCCTGAGTGCTCAGATACAGGCAGGAAGGTAAAAAAAGATTTTTTTTGTTAATTACTGAGATGAAAGAAACCCACAGCTCAATTTGCAAGTGTAATTCTGAGTCCACAAAAAGCTGTATTATCACTCTTTCTTAATACTGGCATAACTTTCAAAATATCAACAGGAATGCATATGGATACTATGTTATGAGGAATGTAATTAGAAATAAATGGGAATCATTGATTAAACTGGTTAATCTTACAATGTACGGAATACTGTAATTTGGACCATCACTTTTAGTTTTTTTAACTGACAGCAGAAAAGACACAGTTAAAGATGTGGTATGTTTACCTGTGATTTCTTCCCTTCGTATCTTCATCTCTGGCTGTACTAAAATAATTTTGATATTTGATATTTTACATAAGCGCATTCAAAAGCAGCAAAATGCATAGAAGTCATTTATCATTTTACTGATATAAATTACTGTTCATTTAAATGGTGACTCTACCTGTTGGGAAAGTTAAAATCTGTTTCCTGGGATAGTTGGTACAGAATGAAAGTCACGCTTGGCTCCAGTCTTGATGCTTTACTAGCAGGAAGGGTCTGTTTCCTCCCTGGCAGGTCCCAGCTAGCGGTGAAGTGGAGCACCCGAGACTGTCCTGCTGTTGCAGGCAGTGAGTGCAGGGTGCCGTGTCGTCCCCCTGCTGCTCCAGGCATGCCGGAGAGGAGCCACCAGGAGAGGAGCCACCCAGTGCCAGTGGCACTGGGTGGTTTCTTGGGCTCAGAGCGTGGCCCTCTCCACCAGTTCTGAAAACAGTTCCCTGTAGGTCCTTTGAATTGTGTCCCTGTCGCTGGCTGCCAGACCCATAAGGCCCCTCCGGCCTCTGTTACATCAGTGCCAAACTCCACGTGTTTTTTTTTCTCTCTGTTACTTTTTCAGAGAATCCCGAGGGTCCCATTTGGTCACTCAGTGGGAGAGCGGAGGGTGGGAGAAAGCTTGGAAGGTCACCTCTGTTTGGAAGCGGCTCCCTTGGCCTTCAGCCCTCCCCTCAGCAGCTGTCTTTCAAATGGCAAGGGAAGGTTTTGTTGATACGACCCAGGGGAAGGGCCCGCTTAGCGTACAAAGGCTCTACAGAGTCCTCGTTGTCGGGCAGGGATGAGGAAACCTGCCCCCTTGCAGCCTTATGTTTCTCCCTCTGCGTGTCTGTTCTCCCATTATCACTGACTTCAGTGCTGTATTTACTTTTGCCTGCTTTGAGATGGGTGCGGTCTATGAGCACTTTTGTACTAGGGTAGGGTGTGATTCTGCTCTGTTGGAGTCTGAGGGTTGGCAGTAGATAGTTTACTAACTCTGGGGTCCCAGAGGGTCTGAGGTGTGGGTCTACCGCTGCTTGTGCTATGCTAAGGCTAGCAAGGTCTAAAGTAATCCTATTTCTCTGGCTTAAAGAGTTAAGCCAGAGTGCAGCTGAGTCACTGTAACCTGCTTGGTGCTCACTCGCAGCCTTCCCTTGCTGCCAAAAATGCTTTAGCACAGACTATCTTTAAGCTAAGCCTTTCTTTTTCACAATCACGAGCGAGGACTGGGTATGGTCGTCACACAGGTGATAAGCAGTAACGCGTGAAGCCATAGTAACTTGATTGCCTTTGGTTATACATGTAACACATTATTTTAAGAATCTCTTTTCAGGAAGAAAGAGAACTATTTCACTTCTTAATGATTTGGGATCAAATTTATCCTAGTGGAGATCTATACAGGTTAATCAGTAGTGCTAAATTTAAGAAGGAAAGAATAAGTAATTTTTAAGGAATAGCCAAGGGACATTTTTCTATTTTAAATAAATATTAGATAGGTTTTTTCATGGAAGGACTTAGTGTTCAGCAGAAGAGGTGAACAGAAAAATTTAGTGGATAAGGTATTTAGTGGGACAGGGAAATTTCTTTCAGTGTTTTTAGGTGTTTGTATGTTTAGGTTAATCGGTAAATCCAGTGAAATCCTTCTTTGTCCCATAGGTAAAGGATCCATATTAAACTTGAGGCCTCTGGGAAGAGGAATGAAATTTTATGCAAGTGTTTGAGCAAGGGAGGTGGACTGAGGGAAGCAGAAGAAACAGGCCAGGACCCACAGGACTGTCACAGCTGCCCACGCAGCAGTATTGATCTCAGAGTTGTGGTTATCAAACAGGTTTTGATGACTTCCAAGAACAAAAGTATTAAAATACGAGAGCATCAGTTAGAAAATGTTGGCAATTAGTAGAAGAAATGGCGAGGAAAAAGAGGAGGAAGGAAGAGATGCCAGTGTGGATGAAATGTCAGTGAATGAGGTCACGGGGGTGTTCCAGAGAAGCAGCATGCGGAGGTGAGTTGATATTTGAATGTGGAGGGAATGAGGCAAGGAAGGAACAGGGCAGTTTGGTTCTGTGACCTACAGTTGTGGGATGCACAACTGTTAAAGGGAACATACAAAGGCATTTGGAAAATCAGTGCTATGTGTAGGCTAGGTTTTGAAGTGTGAGTTGAAATGATGATACAAAAATTTTAGTTTCTTTAAAAAATTAAGAAAGTAATTATATGTTTGAGGACAAAGTGAAGAGTCACAAATTTGGAAATGACAAATGCTTGCCAGAGCTATAAACATGACCTTTGCTGGTTGTGCTCTAGTACTCAGAGTATTTACATGACCACATGTTCTTTTTCAGTTAGAATAACATACTTGTCAGTAACATACCACTTCTGCACTATGCTACAGTGTGCATAGGTGTATCTTCAGATGATTGAGGAAAAACCCCAAACTTTACCAAAGTATAAAGGGAAATTAGTTCAGATATTTAGTATCTAGATTTTACTTTTGCATTTCACGACATGGTAGCAAAAGTGTGGCAGATTTGTCTTGGAAAATTAGGATGCATTCCAGCAGAAACTTATGCAGAGACTCAGCTTTTTCCTGAAAAATATCTTCCACTATTCCCCATAGCTAAGTATTTAGAGCTTGCAGGATCAGGGCCTAACAAGCCACATACCCTTCTTACTGTTTTTTGGGGGGGTGGGTTTTTTTTTTCCTTCAGGAAAACAAAACTCTCAATGTTAAAATGATTGGAAATTGAACTTAGGGGGATCTAGCATGTGATTACTTTTTTTAGACAGGATTTTCTTTGTAGCTGAATTGGACTGAGTCTTTTTTATCCCCCAAACCAGATGGTAAGTGATTCAGTACTTTTAGCAGTAGAGAAACGATTTGTTTTCTTTCCTCAGTAGTTGGTGTGAATGTACTTTTCTTTATCTATTTACATATTATGTAAACACACTTTACCAGCATTTATGTACATAGTTTACAGTCCACAGAGAGCCCTGTATAGGCAAGGCCGTGCACATAGAAGGAGTTGATGTTGCTTACAGAGAGCTGTTCACATGGAACTCATGGCAGGGTTGTATTTTTATTTGTATTTGTATTTTTATGTATACACTTAAATTTATGACACTGTACAAGGATGCCAACAGAACTGCAAGTCCACAAAACAGTTGAGTGACTTTGCACACTTTACTTTTTTTCACTTAACAAAGTCTCTGGGGATGCCCTTGATCTCTTCTGCTGTCTTCCTGTGGTAGGCTGTAGTCCTTGTGACTTTTGAGCTAAAGCTGAAAGCTTTATCCTTATTACAGAGTGTTGGGACGAGTTCTTGCTGGTGTGCCAGGGGAGCGAGGGCCTTATTTGTGTAGCCTTTTGGACTTGTACTGATGCTACTAGGGAGACTTCGGAAGGGATTCCAGGAATGGTGAGAAATATTTGGGAGAGTATTACAACTTCTTTCACATGTGTACCTGATTTCTCAAGGTTATCTGCATTTATGTTTGTGTATATACAGTGTTAAAACTGAATGCTAAATGCAGCGCTGTTCCTTGTTTTGTGCTAAACAAAACATACATGTAAACCGTATATATGCTGTGTCAGCACATGGGTATTTGAGGCGGAATGGAAGGATATGAAGCTAATAGTAGACTACATTATAGGGGAATAGTATGTTGTAGTGTCCAGCCACGGATTCCTTATACAAGAAGGTACAAGCAAGGTTGCCCAAGCAGCCTTACAGTTGTCCTTTCCAAGCAGTTAAGAGCCGTTTTGTAAATCTGATGTGCTTTTACCCTAGCTTTGTCTGAGAATTAAAACGTTGAATGCCTTGGAGTCATACTGCTGCTTTACTGAGATGGTAATACTCCATTTCAAAAATAGTGACCAGTTTCTCTCTTTACAAATCTGGCTGTACACAATTGGAATGGGATTATCCGACTCTCTTGGTTCTCGCCTCATCTACATATGCTTCAGCTGAGTCACTGGGGGTTTGCGCACAGAGGAGCTGGCCCCTTGCCTTGTTTTCCAGGTTTACCAGAGAGCTGAAACCCAGTTCTTAGCATCTTCCACTTGAAAAATGTGACAATCTTCTGCTTCCATGAATTCTAGTAGGGAAAAGAAGACACGTGAATTAGCATCAGAAATATTGTGCTGTGACGTGTGTCAAGTTTTTCCCCTCAAATTATTCAGTGGAAGGGTGGCAGAAGAGGGCCCTTGAAAGTAGCACTGGTTTTTTTGACATGGATAAGTAGTCAAGCTGGGGTGATTCACTGTGCCTTGTATTTGTGTAATAAATCACTTTTCCCTTTATGTAAGGGGAATTGTTTGGGGGCGTTTGCCTCTTGGGCTATGTGGCTTTTGGTGTGGTCATGCAAGGTGGCAGAAAACTGCGTCGGCAGAAGGATACATAATCCTGTGGGATGCTGCTGCACGGGGTGGCGTGTGAATCCTGTCTGAGGTCAGACAGCCTGCTGGGAGGAATGAGAGCTTGCTTGGCCAGCACTCTTTGTGTGTTTTGTAGCAAGGGCTGTACCTCTGGACATACCTTATCACGGTCGCAAACAGTCACATTTTTTATAACTGGGAATTGCATTATTACACTACCAGAAAGAAATAAAAGCACAAAGCAATGATTACGAACTTCTAAACACACTATCTGTAGAAGAGCATAACTCCTAACCCAGCTATTGTGGGCATGCAGGGACCCCAGGATTAAGATTTCTGTTCTCTCAGACTGTTGCTGTGCATGCTCTTGTGCTCGTAATTGCCTCCTGACTGGCAGCAGAGTGCTTGCTTCCCAGTGCCACAGTTCCTGGTGTCCCCTGGCACCCAGCTGCCTGTCCCTCACTGGCCAGGTGTTACATGGGGAATGGTACCATGCCTGGGAGTGTGAGAGTGGCTGTGACGTATAGCAAATGAAGGGAATCCAGAAGTTAAACTAGGTGATCTGTCAGGGAGAATGAGCAAAATCTGCCCCCAGTGTGGAGAGCTCTGAAGAAACAGGGTTGGAGACCAGTTATCTGTTACCTCTTGTGAGCCCCAGGGAGTAAATACTGTGGAGAAAACTTGGCTCAAAGTTTTGAGGACTAAGTAATTGCTGGAATCTCAAGGCTACTTAGGACATAAGCATGCATTTATAAGCACTGGAAGTACTAAAGAGCGTTTCTTCTGGTTTCAGTTAATAATCAGGCATGTTGTGTACAGTTTGTTTGCTTGATTGGTTCATTTTATTGTGTGTAGATACACTGTAGAAACAATTTTGTCTTTTGTTCAGTGTTACTCAGCTGGCGTGCTTCTTGTAAATCCAATGAATTACGGGGAATAAGTAACCTGCTCTGGTCTGTCTGTGAAACAAGGTCCATTTAAAATAAAAGCCTGCGAGGGATACGGCGGGACTGCAGTGAGCAGAGGAGGCGGCGTGCGCAGCAGAACGGAAACCTCCAGGCCACGTGCACCGCAGGCGCAGCAACTCACTGGCAATGTCAGTTGCCTCAGTGAAAAAGGAGTTCTGCTCTCCCATGTGTGGTACGAAACTCAAGTTCCACTGATCTTAGTGGAAATGACGTGGGTTTGCATTAGGGCAAATGAGAGCAGAATCTGGCCAACTGTTAATAGCTTTTTGTATTTGGGGCTGAAATAAAGTGTCTGTGTATGCAAATAATTGTGCAAGCATGACTCCTAACTGACTTATTAAAGGAGAATTCAATATTTAATTGTTGGAAATACAAACTGTTTGGCACAGATCTCCTGGTTTGGCTGAGCTGTACTTGACCTGTGACAGGGAGAGCAAAGGTGATTTTAAGTCCTGGGATCCAAGGGGCCAGTGTGTAACGTAACTCAAGGCAGAGTCAGCGCATTGGCTGCTTTGTAATTACAGATGCTTATTTTGTGTACAAAACCAGTTGATTCATTATCTTTTGTTTCCATTATCTCATCTCAATCTTTATGGGTGAATCTGAGCTATTTTACTTCAAGGGGGTGGCATATAACTAGAGTTAAAAACAAAGGGGTTGATAACAAGAAGTTGTTATTCTGATATAAAGGATGTTCTGATGTAAGCAAAATTATAAAATTGGTTAACTCTATGTGCAGAATCTGAAAACTTTTGGAAAGCATAACAAGTTGAAAAAACCCCTTTCTTCTGCTCTATCCCCTGCATCTCTTGCAATATTTTGACCCATGCCTTGGAACAAGGATAGTTTAGCTCTTAGAATATAAAAGAGATGATTAGAAGCAATCACACTGCTGTAACTTAACACACTGTCACTCCTCAGCTGCGCTTCAGGAACCAGCTGAACTTCAGGAACTCTGCTCTCACACCCTGTGGTGAAATGATACCTGTTGGCTTAAGCCATCTTCGTGGTGTTAAATTTTTAAACTGTGGTGATCTCACCACAAATTATCAGCTGTTCTTATGCTTAGAAATGTGGCCATCCCATTCAAACTCCTGAGAGCAGAGAACGTTTTTGCTGAGGCCAAGATTTAAAAGTGCTTTCATCATTCAAAGAGCCTCCAGAATTTGACAAAGTGAATTTTACTTATGCAAGCTTTTTTTTTTTTTTTTTTTTTTTTCCTTCCAGCATGTAAAAGTGACAGTACAAGTGTGGATGGTGTGGAGAGACATCAGATTTTGTTGGGACATAAGTGTGAGCCCAGAGGTGATGGGGTATGTTTGAAAATACTTCCTGGCAAAAGTTGTACTGGCTGAGAATCAGAAGCTCGCATCCAGTTGACATCACTGGAAGGTGCACACATAAAGTGAAAGTACTATGTGGCCTTTAAGCTTCTGTTCCTGTAGTACATGAGGTTTTATACTACACAGAAGAATTGAACCATTCACTTTTCAGGGTAATTGATATAAAATGGGTATCTGTGATCTATTCCAGTCTGCTCTGTCTCAGGTATGCCTCCATGACTTTAATGGAGTGCTGCATATGCACAACAAGGAGGCTCTTTGGATGGAAACACTGTACTGCAGGACTCATTAACTGATGATACTTGATAATTTTTAGAGATGAGTACAACAGTTGCTGCTTATCTAGATCATAGATATTACTCGAGGGAATATGTTCACCAAAGTGAAATGTTCTCTAAAATGCTTGCTAACAGGTTGCTTATGCTTTTTTACTCCAAAAGCGGTATCTTTTTCCCTCAGCCAGACAGAAAATTAGATTTTCTTCTTATTTAAGTATATGAGGAGTAACTGTGAGAATTGTTCGGGTTACATGGATGTTAACTAAGTGTCATCAGTGGTAAATCAGGCCCACTGCTTTTTTTGTGTGTTTGGCCAAAGGAAGGGGCATTTCCATTGTCTGTTGCTGATTGAGTTCCCCTATGATCTTGTCTAATATACAGAAACACTGAAACGGTATCAAGAATATGGTCTCTCTTGTGCCCTACCACACCGAAAAATCATGCGATCAAGTTCCCCGTTTGTGTGTGTCTCTTCCCTTTGACTGTTTGTCCTTTTAGATGCAGGCTCTCTGGGACAGGAGCTGTTGGTCAGTGCGCCAGAGCCTGCGGGCACTGCTGGAACAGAGCGAGCAGCTTTCCTTCCACTCTGCTGTTTGGGTGTGACTGAGGGCTGAGCTGAAAGGCTGGTGGGTGGCTGGCTTGCTTTTCTAGGTGAACCCAGTGAAGCAGATGGATTGCATGAGGAGTCCTGCGTCACTCTGGCTGGCACCAACTGTGGCTGGATACATCAGAAATCCCAGAGCTGCTCAGCTCTAAGCTCTGTCTATGCGTCTGCAGCACCAGTCTCCAGGGAACTGAGGTTCCTAGATTGGAGGATATGAGTTGCATTAAAAGACCAGTCCCTGGGGGTTTAGAAGTGATAGCGGAATAAATACTTACAGCTTGCTTTCATGTTATATGGCGTGGGACTTGTTCTTCCTTGCAGATGACTTCTCCAGTGCTGCTTGGATGTGCCTGCTGCTCTGTGATTGCTCCTAAAGCCTTGATTTGACAGTAGCCTCTGGCATGCTGTGGGCCAGCAGATCTGCATAGCAGCAGGCCCACGAGTCTTCCTGCAGATTGTTAAGGGAGTTTTGGAGAAACTGAGTGATTCAAAAATTCACCACTCTTCTCTGGCAGTTCCCTGGATTTGAAGTGTCCCTTGTGTCTGGCACAGCTGGGCAGCAGGCTGGGGAGGAAAGCAGCACTGGTTTTATTGTCTTTCAAATGCTTGGGGCTGCTGATGTTAGGTGCCATAAGTGTAGGTTTTTTGCAAGGAGAGTTGTAGGTGAGGGAGAAGCATCACCATCACGTGAACTGGAGGGGTGGTACTTTGATGTCTTGGCACACAGGGCAGGCTGAGGAGAAGGAATAAGATTAACAGAAAGAAAATCCTCCCAATCTGGGCAATGTCACCTTGTCATCGTGAGTTTGGTAGTTATGTAGCTGCAAGCCTACTACTGCCTGCTTTGCAAGGGGCTGAGTGCAGCATGCTTAGGGCTTTGAGGTGCTGACAGGCTGATACTGCCCAGAATAACTGCAGAGAGCATGGTCATGTCCAACATGAGGTACAGTTGTAAGACCTGAAAAAAACTGTTTTCCAGTGTGTCACCCTTGAAGACAACATATGGCATACACGCTGAAACCTAAAACTCCCTTGCTTTCTGCCTCCCCAGCAGCTTCATACGTGCATTCAGCTTCTCCTTCATGTGAGCCACAAGGTGAGAATCAGGGTAGCACAGGGATCAGAAGAGCTTTGGTGTTCCCTTGGCCAGCTGGATGTGCAGCAGTCCTGGGCCTTTTGACCTGAGAAGCACTGGAGCACCTGGGGAACGGTGCTGGGCAGGGCATAGGGGTGGAGCAGGCATACAGCTAAGTTGTATAGATCCCTGGCAAGACCAAGAGCCCATTTTGGGATGCGGAGGCAATATTGTGGGTCAGAGAGTATGGGACTGAGGTCAGAGAATGTGAGAGCATGCTTGCTATATGGCTGCTAAGCAGGGAGCAAGAAAGGATTTTACCGTCTGTGGCTTGAGGGATGGAGTGAGGAATGATGGATCAGGTGGAGAAGAATCTGGTTGGGCTGTGGGGTAATTGTACAATATACCCAGAGCTTGCAATTTATCCCAGACCAGATTGGAAATGTTCTGGTATTCTTCAGTAGTGCTTACAAGCATCTGATAGTCACCGTGCTAGGCACCTGACTCCCTGCCCAGAGCACTGACAATTTGCCCCATCTTGTTTGTCATACACACCTGCAGATTTAGTACTTTTCTTTTGGAGAATCCAGCACTTTCCTGTCCTGTGGGACAATGCTTCTCTTCTGCCATTCTCATGGAGATGTGTGGTGCGATGATGTCACTTCCTAGCAAGGGGCTGGTGAATCACTTTGTTAGTGTTCATGAATCACTACTTTGCTACCAGTTTCTGCACTGGTCTTAATACAATTTCCAAAAGCAAAAATCACCATTTCAGAGACATTTTACTTTTTGTTAAAGAGACAATACTGGAATTATCTTGTTGTGTACCGTACTGAACCCAAGCTCCCAGGATGCTGCAGAAGAGCTGTCCGAAATCTATTTGTGTAGCTGAAGGTATTGCCACACATCCCTCCCCAGCAGTGGAGAGCTTGCTTGCAGCAGGGTGGGGAGAGGGAGCACACGCGTTTGTCTCACAGGCTCTGGTGGGTAGTCTGATAACTTAAAGTTTAAAGTTCTGCTGTGGGTCTGATAACTTCTTGCACAGGAGCAGAAGCGCTCTGAGCTGTCATGGCTAGGTGTGCAAAAGCTCTTCTGCTAGTTGAGAGCCTCCCATATCCCATATTTTATTGCCTGCCTAGGAAGTGCAGGTTGTTCATCTCCATCAGCTTTGCACCTCAAGGGATATAAAGAAGGCAGGAAGCAGGAGTAAGTAGATTCCTCAGAATTTGCTTGTCCAAAGGGAGAGCAGATGGCAGGCTGTGTGGTTGTATCGAGGCAATGTCAAAGGTCTTTGACACGCATCTCCTTATGCATCGGCACAGGGCTTTTTCCTGGGGAAGAAGGAGTTGCGCACGGTGTGGATACGATCTTGTGAGGGTAAAGGCACTCATGGTTTATTCTTGGCAAAGCCTGAGGCTGCTTTAAAGTCATCTTTATGACAGCACTAATCTTCTGGCAACTGCAGGGTCAGGGAATTGCACAAGAAGCACAGAGGTGCCTTAGCATTTTACCTTGTTTGATGGGCTAAGCGTCCCTCCGTCACAAAGATCCAACGCGTTTCTCCGACCAAGCACAGCACATGCTCCGGCAAGCCCACTGCTGCCCTCCGAGGGTATTTCCCTATTGTTTTGTCCTGACCGTTACACTTTTACCTTTCTCTGTGATACATTGCATGCTGCCAACTGGTATTTGTAAAATGTTCAGTAGAATTTTGAAGTGAAACTTCTTTAGAGGAGGTCAGTGTGCCGTGCAGGACACATCCCGCGTGTGGGCAGCATCTGACAGATTCCTGTCACTGTTACCCAACAGGCTTGTCAGAAATGACAGCACCTGCCTGTGGACTGCACTAACACAGCTATACCAGCCAAAATGGGAAGCGTTAACGGTATTGTCTGCCCCGTGTGTTCTTATTCGTAGTCCCTCCCCACTATGACAGGCACAGTGTAAATGTCTGGATGGATGGTTACATGTGTTAGGATAATGAGACCAGATACCATTCAGTTCTGAGCACGGATGTGTAATTATTGTAACAGAAGAGTGGCACAGAAGATTGCTTAAGAGTTTTTCAGTTATCAGTGACTTTTCTACACATAGGCAGGTAAGGAGGTAACCTGTCTAAAAGATTTCTCCTTCCAGAATTAGTGCCAAGAATCAGATCTTCCTGATCCATTGGTGGGAAGCTCTGTTTTCACATTTACAGCGTGCCTACGTGCTGGAGATTTTTCTGTTTCATTTCTCTTTTGTGATGGATGAAATAACTTGAAATCTGTTTTTTATATCGAAAGGCTATTTGACTTTTTCTGCCTATGTCGCAGCCATTAGTGTGTTTCACGTATGTCATCAGCACTCCGTAGCAGAATGCTGTTTTGTGCCCAGTAGGGATTCTCAAAATAGCCATTGCTTCACTCTCTTTTTAAGCTTGTCTGCAGTCCAAGCCGCTTAATTTTCCATGTGGTCTGCTGTCAGCCTCCCATTGTAAATTATCTGCCCTTGTAACTCACAGCCTAATTTTTCTTACTCTGTTCAGTGGAACTACTGACCACTGAATTTAGCAAATCAGGTTGTTGTTAGGACAATACCTGTGAGAACTTCCTAGTTGCATGATTTGTACTTATTTTGTAAGTTTTGTAAGGCTGTTTGGTTCCCTGCTGCCCTGATCTCAAGTGTGTGACCTTGGAAATCGGTTGATTTGAACGTAACTTTTTTTTCATTTGCAGCCCCTGGAGGATTGTAATTGCAGTGTTGCCTTGTGACTGTGCTGAATTAAGAATCGGAGCCCAGCTGAAATTCCCAGACCGAAGGATATGATGGCTACTAGTAACCTTGGTGCCTTTTTTTATGCTTTTTTCTAAACAGTATCTTTTTGCATTATACATGGTCAGTGTTTTTGGAGAAAAAAAGTTATTTCTTAGGTACCTATTAAAATTTAAGAAAATAGCAGGTCCCCTTGCCCCTTGTGTGCACACCTTCTCCTTCCATATGCTTTAGTGTTGGAAACTGATCATGACTTTCCATTGTTATGGGAAAACATTTAAATAGCACACCATTTTATAGACAAAGGAAGGAAAAATCCAACAACTTTGTACTCTGCCTGTAGGAGCTCTCAGTCTAAGTATGGCAAAATTAGCAAATATGAAATGTAGGCTAACAGCTAAGGAGAATAAGGGAGTGAAGTTACAGATGCTAAATAAAGACAGGATGAGATTGTTCAAAGAGGCAGGAGGAAGGACAGAGGATACTTGGCAAGAGAGACTCAATGATACGGGTCAGCTTTACTCTTACTGAATCTGAGTGTTATCCCAGATTTGTGGAGATACAACATCCAAAGCCTTCCCAGGGAGAAAGATCTTAGCCCAGAGGGCAGCGTGGAGTGAGGCTCAAAGCAGGGGGAAGAAAAGGAGATGGAAGTGAGTGAGTGAGCAGGGAGCAGGAAAAGCAGAAGGATTGGGAGCATCCTGGGATAGGACTGTGTAAATGCTAACTGGGGTCTTGAGCAAAGTCAAAAGCAGTTTTCCCAAAAATAACAGTGGTCTCAAGCCCAGCATAAGAACTTGAATTTGACCCAGAAGTAGAGAGAATTACAGCAGTTCTGCTGTGTGTTAGGTCTGCATTTGGAATTTCAAACTTTGTTTTGCCTCTGGAGTCCTCAGTCTTGCACAGTCCCATTACAGCAGTGGTGGTTTTAGTGAGAGTGCAGGTTTTAGTGAGAGTGAGTTCCTATCCTTGGGCAGCTGCACTTTCATGTGCACAGGCATGTGCATTTTCAGTAAAGGCTGTTCCCAGAGTGAAGATTAGCTGGTGGAACTAACAACAGAGGCTTTTTGGAAAGCAACACTGAATTTGCCATAGGCATGACCCGGTAGCATTTTCCCCAGCCAAGCACTGGGACTGTGTGTGGATGGCTCTGTTTGATGAAATCTGGGGCAGCTGAAGGGCAGACAGGCTATTCTAGTGCTTGCATGTCTGCTGCAGAAGGTGGAGGCGTACCGGTGTAACATGGGGAAATACTGGTGCACACTGAAACTTCCCTAAGAGCTCTGATTAGAAGATGCAAATGTGATGCTTTAAAAAAGGTAATTTACTGACAGAAGAAAAACTAGTAATGAGCTGAACAATTAGCTTATCTTTCACCTTTCTAGATACTTTAACAGCTAAAGACTTAAAATTAATCTAGCAGAAGTCAGAGCATTAATTTGAGGCTGTTAAAATCTTCCTGATCCATTTATGGTACTCTTCTGGAGGAAGAGTTTCTTACTTCAAGTTAGCTTAACCCTCACTTTATTATTGCAACTGGTCAAATTAATTGCTATATTTGTCAGAGATCACAAACTCTCCACAAATCTGATTGTATTTACTCATGTGTTTTCATTTCTTGAAAGGTGAAGATGTATAAAAAAATAAAGGAACTTTGGTGGCAGTTTGTTGGAGTGAGGAATCAAAACTATTTTCAGCACATGTTAGTAATGTACGTGAACTCATAGAATGTATCTGAACTTTTACATGTATTTTAAGGTTTGCTTTTGTTCCACTTGCATCTTTTCCTCTCTCTTCCCAATCATCATTTCAAAAATGTCAGAGGAACCACAACTGAGCATTTCTCCTGTTCCCACCTGTGCTTTGGGATGCGAAAGAATAACATTAGCACACAGAGACTTTGACTTCCTCTTGGATGCATCTGGACGATTTTATTAGGCAGTCCACTGTGTGATCAGTCTGAGAGCAGCTGATAATGAGCATTGCGAAGATATGGTACTGGGCTGCTGATCAATTTTGTGTGTTTCAGAAGACTTGAAAAATTAGATTCATGAAACATCACTCTCATAAACCACAGCCTCACCATGAGGACATTAGGGCAGCCACAACTGTATAAAGTATCTCCACCAGCAGTCTTTCACCCTCTGACAAATCTTTATTTCTTGAAGGTAACTGTGGGTGGTCTTCCTTTGTCTAATTTCTGTAAATTTGGTACATCATTTTCTAGTTATGCAGCTGATACTCGTGTTTATATGAATGGGTATTTAACAAAAGGAAAGATCAGATGTTTGTTGTTTCATTTCAACATAAATCAAACTTTGTACTCACATAGCAATTCTAGTTTAGCCCCAGGAATAGCTTTAGTATTGCTAAGTGTCTGGAGAGTATTGACTACAGAGACATGATTTTAAGCGGGCTATAATAGTTTCTACAGCTGTTAACAGTTCGCAGAAGAAAGGCAGTATTATTCATCGGTGTTTAAAATGTGCATGACTTGCATTGCACAGAAGTCAGATTGGGAGAATGTCAGAATTTTTTTTTTCTGAAATTCTGCCAGGAAAGTCTTCAATAACTGGAGAAATTCTTTTCACTGGTGAAATCAACATGCAGCACATTGTGTTATTATAATTGCTTATAGCTCATCATGAAAGTTGTCTTTGTATGTGTGGATGTACGGCTTGTACTGTTTTGTTTTTATTTATTCTGCATTCTTTATTATAATGTTCTTTCCTTTTTTCCAGACCAGAAAGATTGTTATTGAGCCTTCCACAAAGCTGAAATAATGCTGTGTGTTAAAAAAATGTTAACAATTTGAAGAAGTTATAAAAATTTATAAGTTGACTGAATACTTTGGAAATTTCTGCATATTTTAATATAAATAGGTAATGCAAATGTTTGTTCTTTGCATTTAGAGGTGGGTCTCTGTTTTCTAAAGGTCTTGTATATAAATTTGATTCTCACAATTACATTAGAACAAAACCATTATTTTTTCAGATTGTATAATAGGAAAAAATGTATTCACAAAACACAGAACATACATGGTTATCTTTGAATGCTGTATAGTCATGAAATTTAACATAAATAGCATCAGTTCTTTGAATGACTTCATTAAGTGCCTTTAGGGGACTGCCTGTTGCAGTCAGCTGAGGTCCTTCCATTCAGTTCCGCAGGTCCTGGGTTGCCCACAAAGAAAAAGACCATGCTGTGGTTAACTGAGAAATAAGAGGAGGTGATTTCACTATAGATAGCATGAAATTCGAAGTTGTAGCGGTAGAACTTGCATAGAAATTCAGTCACATAAAATCAAAGAAATCACAGAAGATGAAGGAGTTATTTCAGATGAATTTGGTGTTAGCGATGAGTTCGAGCTTTATTTGTAACTGAAATTGTAAAACAGAACAAGAGAGTCCAAAAGAAAGAAAGGAAGAGTAGAAATAGGTGAAAGGGAAGAGCTGGGTGACAGAATACTAGCAGGTGAGCAAGGACCTAAATGATGACAGGCAGTTTTAACAAAAACTAGTCCAAAATAGTAACAATTCAAATGTTATGGTCTGCCGGAGGTGCTGGTTGGGTAAATATCTGAAAAGACAGGCAGCAAGCTGCTTTTTTGGGAGGATGGAGGGGGAGCAATGTGAGTTTTGGGTGGTTGTACATACAGAGTAGAAAGGGTTTGTTAAGTTTCTCTGAACGAGAATGTATGTCTGATACTCCAAGGCGATTTCTCCACGAGCAAGTATAGTAGGAACTAGGAGTGGACCCGAAGAGCTGCAGCGCTGGTGAGGTCCCCTGGACTGCATGCTGCGTGCAGCTGGTGTGCTTTGCCTGTGCTATCGGGGTACCTCTTCCAGCTTAGTTTTGTCTGAAAGGAATCTGGTCTGCGCACTCGGGGACTGCTCCATGATGCAAAGCAAAGCACAGTAAGTGGGGCATTTGAGGGGCTGGCTTCAAAAGCGCACTGCTGCTCCAAACTCGAACGCTAATGTAGATGTGCCCTGCCAAACTTTACGGTGGGAGTGGTGACGTGGGACAGGGCAGAAGGAATACTCAGAATGCACTAGTTTATGTTGCAGATGCTGGCAGCATGTGGAGCTGAGAGCAGTGAAAGCCCAAGGGAGTACAGCACCTGAAGAGGTCAGGAGGTGCTGTGGTGCAGGGTAAGCCCTCCAGGAAAGAGAAAGGGAGAATGATTGATGCAAGGATGTGTAGGTGTGCTTAAAAAAAAAAGAAAAATATGCGGTTCCCTTAACATACATCTTAAAAGGAGGATTGTGGCATGGTTTTGTCCAATGAAACAATATTATCCAGTGAGTAAGTTCCCACCAGAAGGGACAAAAATGCCTTTTAGACATATGCAAGGTGACAGTGAAGTTAGCTAAAGCTTTGCATTGTCTGCCTTCTCCTCAGAATAAAGAACACTTCGGGAAAGTTGGTGTCTATCTTAAGGTTACTGTAATTTAGTATTTCAGGATGGATTCCCTCCTGACGTATTGCCTGTGAAATTTTGATAGGGCTAGAAGCACTTTGTAACACCAGCTCCATTAAGAAGTGTGCAAAAATAATGCACAAGCTTCCCAGGTTTTTGACGCGCAGTTTTTATAGGTCTTTTTCTCAAAACATCCTGGAACATGCTTTGCTGTGTTGAAAGGCATCCTTGGTCATTGTGTCCAGTGCTGTGAAATAACATTGCTGCTAGCTGGTGGTTTGCTCTGTAGAAAGCTGCTTATAGTTTTCAAAGACTGCTTTCCAAATGGAATCACTGTGGTAAATGAACCCTTTAAAACTTACACTCACAAAACTGAATTCAGTTCAGGAAACAGTGTTGATTCTTCAGTCTTTTGTGAGTCATTTCCACTGTAACATTCTCTGGAATAATTCACTTTTGAGTGTTAAAAATGACTGGTTGCTAATGGGGAGTTATCATACATTCAGAGGTATTTCCACATTCCCTGTCAGTGTGCCACTTCATACTGTATTTATTCTCACAGAGCCTGTTATATAAAAGTACCACTTTACAGAGCAGAGGCAGGAGAGAATAAATGATGTAGATAAGTCTGTGTAAGGAAATATGTTGCAGAACTGATCTTGGGTTTCCTCAGCTTCTGATGTTTAGCTGCTGGACTAGCTCTCCTTTTGTTCTGCAGCACAGTTCTATCCTTTCTCGCTGTGGCTCTTGGTCGTCCCATCCAGCACAGCCAAAAAGGCTGCTGCAGATACAGCCATCAGGTGAGCCTGAATGTTATCAGAAAGCTGATAGGATTTTTAGCTTTAGTGACAGGATTATGTCAAATAATGTGATGATTAGCTGAGACAAATGTGTTTAGTACCTAAGTATAGCATGTTTATGTATGCCAGTACTTTGAAAACCAGGAAAGCAAAAAATGTATGGACAATAGGTTATTGCCAAGAACTGTTATCCTTGCTACAAGCAATGGGCATACACAACAGTTTGGCTTTTGAACTTTGCCAAAATGATTTGCTAATGAGCTTTTGGCTTATGAAAGACGACGAAATGCACGAGCAGAACACAAATGTCTTTACTAGATCTTGTCAGCAGTTGTGAAGATAAATTTTAACAAAGTTAGGATTTCAAAATGACTGTGTTGCCTCGCTAAATATGCTGATTGTTGCATGTCTTTGTCCAAGAACAGTTGGCCTTAATAGCTTCTGAGCAATATTTCCTTCGAAGCTCTCAGATAACAAAAGGCAATCCAGAGAAGTCTGAACGAATCTCTGCTTAGAAACTGGCCATGTTCAATCTGCAAAGTATGTAGAATTCTTTTTTTTTTTCCTGGGGAAAGGCAGAAGAGGGCAATAGGTGCAGGATGTGGAGGGAAGAAGCAGTGCCATGACCCTACAGCATTTCTGCATGTTGAGTCAGGGAGTGACATTTAAACAATTCTCACTGCACCCAATAGGAAAAACTATGATGCAGATCAAATTGCTGGCTGTGCTCAGAGGGAGATGAGGAAGAAAAAGGTCAAGGCACCTGTCTATAGGTAGCCTCTCCTGTGTTTCAGATGTTGGGGGAGCTTACCAGAAAGCCAAATAGGCCTTTTTTTTTTTTTTTTTTTTTCCTTTCTTTGAGGGAATGAATGGCTCCGGACTTTCCATCTTTAGAGCTGGTGGTTTCCACACCACAGTGATTCAGCCAGCATGAACTCTTGACCAAATCCCAGTTTGCTTCCTGGTTTTGTTTTTCTAAAATATTGTACATTTAGCAGGGCACAAAGGCCTCCCTACTACATGATGGTGTAAGGAGAGCCGTGCTCTTTTTACTGGTTAACTCTCAAGGGACAGTTCTCTATGCTCCTGAAAACATTGCAACCAAAGCAATTGAAAAGGAATCACTCAATTTTGACTAAAACTAAGACTGAATTCTTACATGCTCCTGGCTTTTTGATGCTGTGTGTTTGTGTGGAATTTCCATTGAGGTTTGATAAGGTCTGATTTTTATTTGAGAAATATGCCCTGCCTGCAATGTTCTAAGGGTTAATCACTATGCCATTGCGAAGGAAACCCATATACATTTGTTTAGTTTCTAGATAAATAGATTAGTATTGACAATGATTTCAGGGGATAGTGTGTTGTTAAATTAATGTGAAGGGTCTTGTTCCTTTGCCTTGCTGGATGCTTGTTGATGACTGAATTCTCTGGGGTGCCCTTTTTAGGGAATATGCTGGTGGTTATCCCTGTTACCATGTAAGTGGTAGGCTCAGTACTTAGAGTACTTAGAGTAGCTTGGCTCTGGAGTTTTAAACACTGAGAGAGATGCTAGACAGGAAATCTATAGCCTGGGAAAGCTACAAACGAAAGAAATTATACCCTGAAAATTAAAACCATAAAATGTTCTTTCAAAAGTTCATTCATTTATATAGATACATTATCCCAAATGATACATCATATGAGTAAACAAAATATTGCTCTAATAGGTTTGAGACCTAAGATAGAAACCTATTACAGTTTACCTCCGTGAAAACACAGCATTACTCCCTTCACACCCTGTGTCTTCTTGTCACCCAGCAGAGAGAAATACTGGTATGTACAGGTTTATTTCAGAGTCCCCTTCATGCAATGACCCCCATTGTCTGCTTTCTTTTTTTCACTACTCTCTATATGTCCCTAATTTTCTCCCTGTACTCCAGTAATTTGTTGTCTATCTCAGAATCTGCAGAGGTTACCTGAGGCTGTGGGCTGAGGTAAGGTTGCATGGGACCGTCCTTCTTTTCAAATACTAGTACTTTTTAAATGGTACAGGGCATCCAAAATGCAGGACACAGAGGTATGGGTATGCTAATAACATTACAGTGGATTAACAAATATTCAGGTCACCAAGTGTTCAGAAACTGCAAAGTGTCTGAACTAAGGTTGTCTTTGCAGTGGAAGTTCAGCCTTGTTTTGCATATGTGCAATGAGACAAGGTTTCATAACATGATCTCGTAAGGTGCTTTTTTACTTTCTAGCACAGCCTTTGAGTAGAGCAGTCAGGAGGGAGCTGGTGCAGCCATTGCTACATGCATTGTGACTTGACGAGTGGCTCTCTGTCCACCTCCACACGGCACTATTACTGTGTCATCTTGGCCATGCATGAGATTGAGTCTGGTCATAGTGGACATATTGCATGTGGAGCCCATAGGGAAGCAGGTAAATGTCATTGCTGCTGTGGCTTTGGAATCGTTGATGATGGATTGCATTGCTGAAGTCAGTGATGCAAGATCAACATAACATCCATAATCATCTCTGAAACCTCAGATTTTCACATTTCAGAATGTAAAACACAGCCACCTTTTTGCACTCCATTTTCTAACATGACTGGCCCAGTTTGAATGTCTTGTTCTGGAGCGGGAAGCAAGTGTTGTACTGCATGTGGAGGATACTATATGGTATCCCATATTCAAATATATGGTTTTCTTCCTGAACAGGGTAAGATGAAAAGGAAAGAGAAATTATTTCAGCTAAGTGAATAATTCACACAGAAGAATTTTTCCAGAGTATCCATACTTCTCTTCTACTTGCAGCATGTTGATGATGCAATTGCTATTCTCTGTTATTTATGTACATTTCAAAATTGCTATTACTTTTTTAACCCTGTGGATTGATGTGAAACAGTGTTTTGTGAGCTATTGTTAATCATGGTGTTGGTCTGGTGGGGTTTGGGTGCTCTTGTTGTATTGTTGGTGCTTTCTGTTTGGATGAAAGCACAGATACTTCCAAAATAAACACTTCTGAGCTAATATAAACTTCAGTTTCCCTGAAGACTGTTCTGTGAAGCTCAGACACTGGCTTTCTTTAAGTGCTTTTGCTGGTACAACTCAATTGCACAAACGTTTGCAGATGGTACAGAGAAAAGGGGCACAAAGCAAGCATGAGGGAGCGGAATGGAATGGAAGAAACGGTCTCCAGCATAGACTTTAGCTCTTGAAGAGTGCTGATCTCTTTCTGTGCTCAGAGATGCTTATTGTGCAGAACCTTCACAAGCATCAAAGATGAAACTTATACTTAGGCAAGTGCTGGAAGGATCACTGCTCTGTGACCTGCATATCTCAGATAGCTTTTTCAGTCTTGTACCTGCTAGCAAGTGGTTCCTGTTCTTCAGACTGCTGTTACCTGCTCCAGCAGATAAGGACAGTATGGAATACTGTAGTGTATGGGATGACCGTTCACTGCGGCTGGTTCCTTCTGCTGATATCAAAAGATGATTTATGCCTTTTTGCTTCCCTCATTGATGTTAGGGCTCCAACTTCTAAGTGTTAAATGACTTTCTTTTTCATGCTTTGCAAATACAGGGATTTCACTGAAGGAGAGTGTTCCAAGCTGCTTTTGAGAAAAAAGCTGCTTTTGTTTGCATCAGGTGACAGAGGGTATTACTAAGCTGACTTCTTGAAAAGGATCCTTCAGGGTATGGTGCTGTCACTGTGTTAGAGAGGTATGCCCACAGGTGGGACTCTGGTCCAGTGAGTGCCTGACCCAGCACAGCAGAACAGCACAGGCAGCCGTTAAAGCAGTGCGCAGTCCCAGATTAGCCAAGGCCTAAATGCTTTGCTCTATTACAGCCTCACTGCAGCTCCCAGGGAAACAGCACAGGTCTCGTGCGGTCCAGGCTGCTCACCCATGCCTGCTCAAGACCAAACCGCCCGGGCTGAGGACCCTGATGAAGCTGTGACCATACTAGCTGCTTCCCCTGTCTCCTGCTGAAGGCCTCTGGCCCCCCATTCGGCTGCATGTAAAAGCATCTCTCAGCCAAGAAAGTGTGAGTAATCTTGCCCAGCTTCTTGGCATTTGTCAGCATAGAGTTAACCTTACGTTTCTGAAGGAAGTTTCGAAGGGCATTCGTTAACCCAAAGCTTTAGGGAATGGGTGAGGCGTGAATGGACAGGACGTGGTTAGGTTGGTTCAGAGGCAAGGAACTGGTAGGAGGAGACACCTTTGGGCCAGGACAGTTTTACTGCTCCCCCTGAGGGTCAGGGGAAAGTAGGTAAGGAGAACATGGACCTCCAGAAGTAGAACTGGAATGGGGAATGGAAGAGCCAGGGGGCCAAGTTATAGAAATCTGGGATGAAGCTGGGACAGGGCCAGGGGTTTCGAAGGTGTTTCTTGAAGTGGGGGGTTGTTGAGAGAGGTGATTGGAGGGGGCTTTGGGAGTCAGTGGAGGAAAGAAGGGCAGCATGCACTTGCAGGACTACAGTACAACATATACTATCCGGTACCCACTCGCCCCTGCAAGCAATAGAGATATTCCTGTGTGGGTCTGCAGTTTTGAAAACATCTATTTATTTTGTCTGCCTCCATGATTAGGAGGCCAATTTAGGGCTTATCTACTTGGGGAAATCCCTGCAAAATAGGCTAGGGTATGAATTTACAGCCTACTTAAAGACCCAGCAGTAAATGCAGTGTAAATTCACACTTCAGCTTACTTCGCAGGAACTCCCCCGCAGAAACAAACCCTCAGAGTCACCTCTGTACCTCAGTCTGGTGCTAAAAGTGAGTGGAAGCTTCTCAAAATGTGAGCCTCCAATTCCATTTTTATAGGTGGGTTTTTTGGTTTCCTGGGGCTTTTTGCAGCTGCTATAAATCTCTGTCACATTGCTGAGGTTGGAGAAGCTGGGCCACTTTATACTGCTCAGGATCTGACCCTTTGCCTCAAGTAACCTTTTATTATCAATTGGCCAGAGGGTATTTTCCTTTTTACTGGCTTTGTTACTAAGCTTGTTCATTCACTCCCACCACTGCTGATGTTTTTTTTTTTTTTTTTTTTTTTTTTTTTTCCCCTCGATTTTTTTGTTGTGTCTTTCCTCCCATGTAATTTCCTAATAGTGAACTAGTGACAGAGTGGGCTGCTGGTATTTCATCTTGTGGCTGGAGAGGTCAGGCTGTTTCTGATACAGACAAACACTCCATTACAGTAAACTCACAGAAAGTTTCCTTTTCAACCTGAAAGGAGAAGGAAACAGACTCTCCACCAATGGGCTTTCAAGAATTATTTCTGTGAGCTGAACTTACACTAAAGGCCAGTTTGGTAATGTTCTGTGTAGAGGAAGAAAAAAAAAAAAAAGGAGGAAGACGTACTATTTCTTCTTTCCCTTTTTGCCGAGATTTGGCTTGAGTCTTGCCTCCTTATCAGATTAGAGTCCTGCAGTGAAAGCACCAACCCTTTGCACTGTGCACTATTGAAGAAATGGTCATTGCTGATGTCCAGCTAAAATCGCATAAAGATTAAACCTTCAAAGATCTCTGTCTGCTTTTGGTATTTAGGAAAACTTGCTTCTTGGCAGGAAGAGCTCAATAATAAGGCAAATACAGAGTGCTATATGTTTCTTGCTGTACTCTAGGGCAAGACTAAAAACACTGCCCCTGTCTGCTTGATGGCTGTTTAATTTAAATTTATTAGACTGCTCCAGGGTATACATAGGAGTCTAATCCTGTAATCCGTGGTGAGGTTGTATGTACCCAGTATTGCAGTGTTCCCTGTGCATGGAATAATTTGACATAAAATGTGCTCCCTACTTCTCAGGGGAGAGGAAAATGTAACAGAGTATTGTCTTACTGTTCACTACTTGGACTTAGCTGAGTCGCCCTTTATTAGAAAGACATGAATAAAATTAATCTAAGTGTTGAAGGAATAGGAGCTGCAAGATAATAAGTAATTATGTCCCAAGCTTGACATAGTATCATAAATCAATAATTTTGAAGACATTTAATTCTTCTTTCTGCCTAATTTCTTGATTTGTAGCACTAGTTTGCTTAAATTTGTTTCTGTGGTAACTTCAGTACTTTTATGCTTCTCCCTTCTACATAAAATTTAGTATTGATTTGCTGATTTCCTTTTTAAATGCAGTCAAAAATCTCCTGTTTGCTAAATTAAGAAACCAATAACATGGAATGAAAAACATGTACTACATTGCATTGCCTGAGCTCTGTGATTTGTTGACTTTGACATGTGCTGTCTATTATTAAAATACATGTTTATATTAAATATATAATATTTTCTTTTCCCTGCCATTCTGGTATTATACCTATGTGAAAAGTTAGGTTAAAGGGTAGTTAAAAGTTTGGTTAATTTAAATGTGGGAGCATATCATCAATTGAAAAACATTATTTGAAAGATGACTTTGTAGTTGAAGCTGTTCTGTTGCTTGACTGAACATCGCAAGGTCAAATGTGGACCAAGTGAAAAGAAATTCAATTGATGTGTTTGCACACATTTGTGCTAGGTGTAAGTCATGAATGTTTTGTGCGCTTGATATTCTTCTCCCATCTTTTGTACACTGATTTTTATTATTTATGAAATCCTTGCAGGGAAGAGACAGTGTCCTCCTGCTGCTCTTCGTTTGTGGTGTATCTATCTGCGGGACATACAGAACTTGGTCTAGACAGGCTGGCTAATTTAAAAGCCTTGGAAATAGGATCCTATAAGGAGTTGTACAGGAGAAAGCGCTGTAAGTAGTGCCCTCAAAGTATTCATATTGCATAATAAGCCTATTTCAGCTGGTGGCATGTGCTTGAATGTGACTGATCTTTTAAAAGCTGGTTGATGAGGGATGCTCTCCTAAGCTTGGGAAGCCTAGTGGAGCAGTCAGTGCCTGGCTGCCTCACACTGTGTGCTGACTCAAACAGAAACCCTTTTTCTTTCCAACTGTAGCTGACACAGGCATTTGCTGTTCTGCCTCAGCCACAGGGTAGGTACAAGCCCAGCCAGGATGGCATCTCACTGCCATTGCAGTCTTTATGCCAAATCTATGTTTAAAGACATCTCAATTACTCTGGTCAAAATTCCCATTTAAAAAGAATAGTTAGAATTTTTCAGAGGGAGAACAACCCACAAGTCAATCATCAATGAAGTGTTAAATGAAGAATGATGTATGTCTTTTGCAGTCTTCACACCTACAAGAAGCCTTTTCAGAGCCTGACTGTGCTGTATTTCATCTAGCTACCTGATTTATGTGTTTAGAATGAAAATGCACAAAATCACATTCCCACCCCGGAGATAAAGGGCCATGGCACACCACACAGCTGGGTGTTTCAGAGCCAGTCAAACTTGATCCAGTCCCTGGGCCTATTCCACTGGGGCTTAAACTGCACTCTCATGGGCATGGCAGAAACACCCACTGCAAAACAGGCAGCTGCTCCAAGATCACTGGAGCACAAGGTCACTGCATGCACATCTTGTACCTCTGTATGATGTTGTGGATCCCTTGGGTCATTTCTGCTTCCTGGCAATGCTGCTATTGCTGAGAGAAGCCTGGCAGCCTGCCCTGCCTGGTGCATCCCTTCAAGAGCTTTGAAACCAGCAGGAGAAAGTCTAGCTGCTTTCACACTGAGAGAGCCTTGTTCTTCCCTGCCACTTCCCCAGCTATGCAGCTTGGGCCCAAACAGATTCTCTATGGAAGTGTTAAAAGTACTGCAGAAGCCAAGCCAGGGAAATAAATCAAAGCTATGTTGAAAGGGCAGGGCTACAGGTGTTTGTCTGGACAGAAAGTTTCATGCAGGATACCAAGATCATGCAGAAGGAGTCTCATGACCTGGGGTTCTAGCCCTTGGGCCAATGGCTTCTTTTCATCTTCTCTGTTTGAAAACATACACAGCATGTGATTTGGCAGCGGCCTTCATATCGGGCATATGTGTGATACACATCTACACACAGGTAGCCTGTGCCACACTTCAGTTTCATGTGGAACAGTTATTGACTTATACGGGAATTACCTTTTGTGTTATTGTCATTAATGTTAATGTTGTTTGATTACTGCTTTCATGATAGTTTTATATGGTTATTGTGTCAAGAAGCCACAGTCTGAGTTCCTTTTTCATTTGTCTTGACCATTGGACACATTCAAAGGAAAAGACCATTCAGGTAGGATATATCTTATACTACTTGAGCTGTCTGAAGGCTAGGTATCTAGTCTAAGCAAAGGGTATGTGTATGGGCGCCCTCTGTTTCTCCCTCGTCACTGAAGGTAGCCAGAGTGATTCATCAGGTATGTGAGTGAATCATCTAGCAATACTGTCTGTCTCTGCTGGTGATGGAGAGAGCCTGGATGATTAGCCTGGACTAGGCATTAACTTTAGGCTAAAGGTGCATGCTTTTCTTGCTCAGAGCTGGGGAAGTGTGAGTTTCATTTCCAATTAGCAGTATTTAGATGCAAATGAATATAAAAAGGGCCTGGAGTGCTACATGTCTGCAAAGGCAGCTATTGCCCACAGACAGATGGATGTGCTGCAGATACTTTGAGCATACTGTATATGGCCAGAGCTCCTCTTTGCCACATCTTCAGTGAGCATCTTTTGCATGATGAGACCACAGATAGAGTTTCCCTTTTGCTGACTCTGCAAGGGTAGCTGTAACTTCTGGCAAGGTGTACATAGACAGCTAGAGTGGAAATATCTTAAAGTCTAGTGGAAGGTGGACTGAGTTAATTTGTCAGAAACCTCACTCCTGGTTTCCTCATGGCAGCAGCATACCTAGGTCAGTTAGAGGCTGGAGTTTTCTTTACTGAGGTGCTTTTCCTATTGGGAAGATAAAAGTGTACTGGTGTGAAGATACTCTCCACTGAAAATTTGTTCCCCTTCCTGTGGGACACATCAGCACTTCTTAGATCAGTGTTGCTTTATTCATACCAGGCAAAGCAGGGGCCACCTCAGAAACCTTTTATGTTACTAGCATAGTGCAAACAGGCATTTGTTATAAATGAGCACTGGAACATAATTAAAAATGTATCTTTAAAGTTTATGGAAGATCTTTCTTTCTCTGGGAAAGAGCGCTGCTGTGAGTCTTATTCCACTGTGGTCAAGTTATTTCTAGTGCATAGTGTGAAAGACAAATCAGGAAGTTTTAGATACCATCTTTTGAAGAGCATGAAACTGGATTCAGTACAGCTGCCTGTAGAAAGGTAAGGTCTAGCAACAACTGCAGTACACAATTACTATTGCAGTTGTCTCTCTTCATCATCTTTTTATACATATATAAATATGGTCTTAGATTATCTGATCTAGCTAGCTCAGGCATGCTTTAGTTCTAGTGTTGGCATTCAAATCTAAAACTACTTCTGGAGATAATCTGAATTATTTCATAATTATGAGAAATCCTGGGGAGGTATCTCAGTGTTTACAGAGGAGTATCTTGCTGTACCACACTCCAGTTTTATCAACACAGCCAAATCTTCTTTTAGTATATTATAGCTCCACATCTTGAGTCATAATCTGTTTCTCTGGGGCTGAAGCACAGACACACACACACACAAAAGACAAAATGTGAAATGTAAAGAATTGTGATCTTTACCACTTGGATTTGGTACCAACTTCTAAAGTAATTTTCAAATTTGTTTGTTGAATTGGAGTTTCATGCTGTGGATAATGTTTCCCTTCATTGTGAAGCTGTCAGTTGTAGCTCCCCTGAGAAAACTTTCCTGCCAGGCTGAGATCTGAGCCATAATTTCCTCTTGCTCAAAATCGACATGCTTCTACAAAGCAGTGGCACCGTTTACTCTAGCTGAGGATCTACCCCGTAAAGTCTTTCAAGGGCAGACTCTAGGCAGTGAACCCAAATGTCACCCCAGAGGAGCAATTGCCATGAAAACCTTGGCGGAGTTTCCCCAGATGTGTTGGAGGTGTCTGTGCTTCCCCAGCCACAGATTTTTCCTTGGCTTCTCTAGAATATTACTTCACCACTAACTTGGTCTGTTTACCCCTCTGTCAGAAGGGTTGATGTTTCTGATTTTTCATCCTCTTTTTCACTAGCTTTGTCTTCCAATAACAAAGTGTTGGAGTGACTTCAAGAGCTGATATATCTAGAGCTGGCCAGCCTGTGCCTTGGAGATGTGTGCAGCTGTTGAGTGTTTCAGGGGTGCCTCTCACGTTGGGACATCATATACAAAGGTCTCTGTGCTCACCAGGGCTGCTAGGTAGTCTGGTCTCGCTGTGGGTGGAAGTGAGATAGATTGCTACACCAGCATTTCTGAGATGCCCAAACCATCTTGCTGTGGAGACATAGGGTCCGGTCAGCCTCTCCTGCCTGGACTTCCCCCACCTCTCAGCTCACTGAGGTAAGTGGTACAGATCTCATTGATCTCAGCAGAAGACTGATGTGTGTTTTTTTAGATTGGCTCCTCCAGAGCACTCTGTTTCTCTGTTCCAGTGATATTCTTGGATCTGTTCTTAAAGTCCTACACTTTGAACTCTCTGCAGTTAACCTCTCCTGGTGCTTCACTATCAACTTTTTGGGAGATTTTCCTTGTGTGTGCACTTTTCCACGTGTCAATTACCACTTCTCATGCTTTTCTTGTTAGTCTTACTGGTGTGCAGAGTCATGGCACCATATATGACAACTCTCTCCTCTGTCACCATCGTTGTTAACCAGTAGTCACATCTCAGTCACCTTGCTCTTATAAGCTGCAGAGGCTAATGGCATTGGGCTGCATATATTCCTACTGTGTGGCATTTTCTGGTCCAGTTTCCTTTCTTGGTCATGTGTTGATCAGGCAAGGACAGGAGCAGAACGAAGCAGTTAAATGAGATCAAAGTCTCTTATTTGAAACCTGCACAGAGAGTAACCATCATTCTCCTAGAACGGGAGCAGAAAATAGCAGCTTGTGTCACTTTGTGTGATGATGACTGCAATAAGAATGGGAAATAGTACACTTCCCTCATGTGTTTCGCAGCTTCAGGAGTAGATGAATTATAATTTTGGTTCCTTCTCCTCAGATTGAGGAGTAGATGACTAATGTCATTGTGACTGGTGCCATCTAATTGGCTCAAAAGAATTTTCTGGTTGTTCTCATGATTAGCATCACTTCCCATCATGTGCAAGCCATTGGAGAGCAAAGACCTCCTTTTGAACTGTCATGGTATGAAGAAGATGTAAAAGTACTGGGTTCCTGAAGCAATTCAATGTATATGAAGTATGTATGAATCAGTATTCTGGTCTTCCTGTGCAGCAAGTCATGATGACTGATCTATTTCTACAGTTACTAATTATATTATGTTAAAAAATACTTGCTGTTGAAGTGACTTCTATGCAAAGTTTCTGTGAAGTTGAGATTTAAGAAGGACTCACCAGGATAGTATAACTGAAATATTTTACTTTGAGTCAAATTGATCCATTTCAAAACAGTTTGTTGAGCTGGATTGCTGTGTGTTACTTAATATTAAGTCCGAGCCATCTGCCTGAACTGCTGTGGCATTTTTGGGACAGGTAGCATTGTATCCTGATTATTTCTTAGTCACCTCCACCTCTGCATTACCTAACCAAGGGTGCATTGCAGTCTCCCTTCTTACCTACTGTAGTGGTGGATCATGGGAAAAAGCTTGGTCAGAGAGCCTCGCTCTGGGCGGATGAGACAAACTGATGTCAAACTGGGTCAAACCAAAATATTTTGCTTTGGTTCAACTCATTGAAATGAAATATTTCAATTCAGGAATACCAAACCACTTCATTTTTTTTCATCAAAAGTGTGTAAGTAAACATTTGGCACTTGCTAATGTCAGATTTTGAAGGTAAGCGTATGAATTTCTCAGGTGTTGTTGACAGGAGATCCTCCCTTCCACATAAGAGTGGATGTTCTTACACAGGCCTGTTAGGAAGAGGTGGCACTTAGGTGATGAAGAAATCGAGTCCATCACATTGCACCATACACCAGCCTAGTGAGAAGAGGTCTTTATGCTCAGTTTGAAAAAGGCCAGTGCAAAAGTTACCTGGGTAAATAAAAATTAAGAAACACATAGAAGGAAAACTTTGGAATGTTTAAAAGGGCGAATATTACAGTAGCACCTTTGGAAGGTCAAGAGGGCAATGTCAATACAAACATGGGAAAAATGGAAAAGACCTGATATTGTAGCGTAGAATCAAATTAAATACTTAATATAGGCATGTTAGAAATTAGCCAGGATAAGTGACAGGACTGGAGCATTCGTACAGCTCATTCTAGAAGGGCAGTCTTGGAGAAATGGAGAAGCCTTATCCATGCTTGTTCTAAAGTTGTGGAATAAATGAGGGACAGAGTTGTCTGGGTGAAGTTAGAGAGAAAGAACAGAGCCTCTTTGACAGGTGGGTGTAGTTTAAGCCACCTCCCTGGGAGGAGTGGAAAGGTGTTTTTGAGCGATTCATGGAAGCACTTAGTAGCAAAGCCTCAGTGGTAATGGACACTTTATCTGGATATTGCTTGGAAAGGCAATATGGCAAAAACCCTCAATGTATCGCCATTTTGGGATATCTTGAGGCAACTCCGTTTCACAAGGTAGGCTTTACTAGGGAGTCATTTTAGCTGAGTCTTACTAAGGAGGACTTGCCTGTGCATAGAATCAATAGTTTGCATTGGAACAGACCTTTAAAGGTCATCTAGTGTGTCTCATTGTCCATTGTCCATCCCCCCCCCCCAAATGAGCAGGGGCATCTTCAACTAGATCAGGTTGGTCAGGGCCCCATACAACCCGACCTTGAATGTTTCCAGGGATGGGGCATCTGCCAGCTCTCTGGGCAACCTGTTCCGGTGTTTCACCACCCTCATTGTAAAAAATGTCTTCCTTATATCTAGTCTAAATCTACCCTCTTTTAGTTTAAAACCATTACCCCTTGTCCTATCGCAACAGGGCCTGCTAAAAATTTTGTCACCATCTTTCTTATAAGCCCCTTTTAACTATTCTAAAGAAGGTAATGTTAATGAAGCTGAAAATATGAATCCTCTTAAGAAAGAGGTTTGGATTCCTGGACAGATAGTGGAACAGACTATCAGACAGTCTGTACAAACCTGGACTGTAAAATTATTAAAAAATACAATTGCCAAGAGTAATTAATGTTAAACTAATGTAATGTCCCAGTTTACAGGGCAGCTAGCTGAGGAAAAAAAAGTACGCAGTAGATATCATACAGATATTCTTTTGATCTTGATGTATGTCTTGATCTTGATATATCTCTTGATCTTGGCTTTCAACATCATCCTTCGTTATATTCTCTGACTAGGTTACCAGTCAAAATCTGGCTGATAAAACTGGGTAACCTGACCCAGTCAAAGTTACCTGGTTGGACAAATATCCTAATGAGGTGATAAGATAAAGAGATGAGGCTCAAGCATTAGGAAAAATGTTCTAATAGCAGGAGTAGTAAAATCATGAAACAGATTACTTAGGGAGAAAGTAGAATCTTCTTGACTGAATTTTTGCAAGAACAAGAGTGACAAATATTTTTCAGAGATGGTCCAATTTATTTATTCTGCTTTAGAGCAAGGGAAGAGATTAAATAATCCCTCCAGATCGCATGGATTTTTAAACTTCTGTTAAGTGGGCGCTTTGGGGACTTTTAAGATTCCTGCTTCTCAGGTGGAGTCAGGATGAGGATAAACATTGTACTATGGAATTTTTCCTCAGGGCAGGTGTACATACAAGTATGGCTTTTGGGTTGTACTGAAAAGAATTATTCTTTATTTGCTCTGCAGAACTTTAGACAAGGATGCCCAACTTCCCAGGTTGAAATACGGCACATCAGACCAGCATAAGCATTTCTGGAGGCTACAGCAGATTATCTGAAAATGTTTTTGCATGAACCCAATTTTATTAAAGAGTTATGCTCCAATGATGAGGAATACAGGAAGGGCATGTGATAGAAATGTGCAGTGTAAACAGCTTAGATTGCTCCTAGCAATTGCATGGTTTTAACTGGGTAACAGATCATGAACTATATTTGTAAAGATTATTCAGCAGTTTCAAAAACCAAAAATATTTAAGAAAACCATGCCCTTCTGGAGACATCTGGTAAACAGATAAAGAGCCAAAGTTCATTAATAGATGAGTCATTGCTTCTATGTCCATCCCTGAGATACCCACACAAAACTCTTGCTGCCTTCAGCAGGTGGTGTGGTCAGCCTGAAGGAGAGCATGGTCACTTGGCCTGGCTCTGGCCTGACTTCGATCTCACATGGATTTGTCAGTGATTTTAGGCAAGCAGAGAGGAAAGACTGCCTTAACCAAGAAGGTGCTTTAGCACTCCTCTTTCTCCCTTTCCCCTCCTTGTCCCATCCCTCTCATTGCTTCTTCGGCTCCCCTTATGGCCAGGGACTTGTTGTCCCTTTCTCTGAGCAGTGACCACATGGCCAATCCTTCTGCAAAGCCCTGCCTTGTGAGTGATAGCTGTAAAACTTCTTGCCTTTAATTGGCCACCACTGCTTTCTTCCAGAGTACCTTGCCCTTGCTACAGGGATGGCTGTTGCTTGTGAAGCAGGGGGTGATTTGCAAATTATAAAATTGCAATAATTCTATGTACTTTTATATTGAATTGCAGAAGTACCAATTTAACTGATGCATGGATTTGCAACCAGCAGTTCAGCAGCTGCTTCATGAGCCATCCTTGCAGGAGGGGAACCTCAGAGAGGTGGGTGAGTTGGATGCTGACAAATGGGAATGGGTCTAGTCATCCCACGAGAAATCATCCCCATTTGTGAGTCAAAGCCTGCAGTCTCTTGCCTGAGATGAAGGGAATCTCCCAAGGGCAGCTAATCTTGCATGATTTCATCACTTGAGATCAAACATCATGATATCGGGTCAATAGATATTTCTAAAAGTACACGCAAACCTCATTCAAATTCACATTTAGCTCTAGCCAAAACACAACCCGAATCACGATCCAAATAACCTCCTCCTCAGCCCACCTTCATTGCCGTTCTGTTTCAGTGGCAGATGCAGCACAGAAAAGATGCCTGAATGCTTAATTCAGAAATTTACTGTTTAAGGCATTACTTGTATGAACACCAGCGTAACACATAGAATACCAATGCCCTAAATTTAGTAGTTTTGTCTGAGTCATTTTCACTATGTGGGAGGGCTGTGAAGACACTCCACAGAGTGGAGAAACTTGCTGGTGGTGTCTGTCCAATGAGATTATTTTTTTTAAAAGTCAGAACACAACAGAACTACAGATATGTTTGTGAGTAAAATGCAATTTTGTTGCAGACTTCAGTACAGGAAAGGGGCGGTGTTGCTCTCCACCCACTTCAAAAGCTGAAGTCAAGTTTGACAGATATGTATATCTGATACCGAAATAGGTACTGAACTTTTCATGACAGCAACACAAAGACACAGGTAAACACTCTGGCTGCGTGATTTGGAGGGACATGATGTGGTGTAATCCCCAGATTGTCTGTGCAATTACATCTTATTTTCAGATCTTCTAGCAATAGCAGCTGAGTTGTTACAATCCTACACGTTACCAACCAGCAGCCAAAAGCTATTCCTGGGCTTATTCACTGAGGAATGAAATGTTGTCCCACTGAAGACCAGGTGACTTCTGCCACAGAAGTCATTCAGTAGGGCTAGGAATAAACACACAGTTTTTGAAATAGATGTGGGCACGAGTAATTAGATATGGATGTGAATGAGCCGTTTAGACTTGGTGTTCTAAACTGGTAACACCTTCCTGCCAGTCTGGATTTTATTCTTACTCCATTAGACTTTCTGCTTGAATGCAGCTGATTTCAAGTTGATATGAATGAACTTAGAAAGTCCATTTTGGAGATTTTTTCCTGGGACCTTGTGGAATAAAACTGCCCCTCTCCTCAAATGAAAACCTAACTTCACTGCCTGAGGTTAGTCTCTGTTCCGAGAGAAACTTCAGTAAAATCAAAAGCTTGTTAACAGAAAAAGTAGTTAGCTGTTATCATAAATGGAGCAAAATGCCAAACAAAATTCTGCTCTGCTATTTGTTGCCATGCAGGCATTTAGCTGCCAGGAAAGACCAGTCTTATGAAATTATATCCATGGTAACATGCAAGCCATGTTTAACTTTGCAGCATGTTAAAACGTACATTAAAAAAAATATTTTTTTTTTTATTCTACTGCTGAGAATAGCAATTATGACTTTTAAGTCAGCTATTTTAACTCAGTCAGCCTGGGAGTTGTTGACTGGTGAGGGTAAGGGCCAGAGGCACATCTCCTTCCTCAGAACACTTGCTATTGCTAGACATTCCCAGAAGGTATTACTGCTTAAACAGCTTGTGTTTTCTTTACCCAGATTCCTTTAACTAGAAAGATATGACAAGTGGTGGTATCGGACTGCAGTGAAGTCCCACCTGTGCTATTCTACCCTTAATGAGTGAGCCGTGCTGACGCTGTGCAGTTGTCATCCATGTGCCCTTTTTGGGTAAGTACCGGATTCAAGGAGCCTGCTTTGTGTTATGGCTTCCTGGGATTATAAGCACTCTGCTCAGGTGCTGTTTAGTGACTCCTGCATCACGCTGGAAAGCAGACGCTTACAGAGTGGGAGAACAGGTGGAGTGGGGAGTAGACCGAATTAGTGTCTGGGCTGGCAAATGTATTGGGAGAAGTAACTGAAAGATCCCAACTTGGAGGAAAAGCTGAAGCTGAAAACTGCAGATGGTTTTCTTGTATGTACGATAATGTCAAACCCAAAAAAGAGAGTTTTCACACTCTGTTGTCTGTTTAGTGCAAAGTGAAAATTATGTAGTGGAAAATGAAGCCCTGTGTCTAGAGAAAACAGCTATGACTGTACCTATACAATACCATATAGGAATCTGTGGAAGTTGGGCTTGACTGCTTTTGCGGAGGTCTCTGGAGCCTTGAGCTCTGTGCTGTGGAGTGGAGGGAAGGAAAAGACACAATGGGATGTGTCCTCAGTATTTTTTATCTATTGGCACCTGCATGATAATGCCACTCTGAGTGAATAGTGCTAGGAGTGACTTCTAAAAACCAGAAATTTCATCCCTAGGGGCAGCAGAACAGCCCATGCTGGATGTGAGGGAAGCACCAGAGGTCACAATGGCTACAGCTGGATCCCACAAAGTGTGGTGGAAAAGAAGAACAGGATGTTCTGGTAGCTACTGTCATGTGTGTGTCTTGAAGCAAAGGGGCTGGTGGATGCAGTAGCCTCGGTGTCTGTCTCTGAAAAGACAGCAGCATCTTTGAAGAATATACATATTTTTGCTGTCTTCCCTTAGCTGTTGAGGGTTCTATGTTTTTTTTAGCTACACAGGTGAGACAAAGATGATACAAGGTGCACTTTGAGTAGAAATTTAAGAACACGTGTACTAGCATGTACCTCTCAACAGAAAAGTGGAGATAGTTTATCAGCACAACCTGTCTTCTCATTTGGGTAAATCCCTTTTCTACTAACAGTTAACACTGATGTATAGGAGAGATTTGGACAAGGAGGGTTGGGCTGTGCTGTGCCTTTTCCACTTTTGTAAAGTGGACACAGACCATGTCTTCTAGCAGGGTGTATGATTTGACACTGCAAGACCCGACAGTCCCTCAGTTACTGGAGGTACTGTGTTCAGGCTGGGGAGGATGAAGAGCGTCTGAGATGCCTTGCCACTAAGTTGTTTGCGCACTGGTGCAAAGGGAGAGAGATGAAGCACCAGGCAGTATCAGAATAGCATCCTAGGGGCCTGAGTCCACAGTAACTTTTTACATGCCACTTCAGTGAGTGTTGTCTGTTCCATCATCTTTGAAATAGTTATCTTCAGATGCCTAAAATGAGAGCCTAGGAGCCTGAAGTACCTAATTTTGAGAATAAAATGGCCTTTGTTTGCGGGAAGTTTCCTGAAAGGACTTTAGTGGTCATTCTCTAATGAACTTTGGATTGTACCTTCGATGGTGGTGCCCCTCATGGGATATGCATAGCTCAATCTGTAGAGGGGTCAATGCAAGGCATATTTGCTGTATCAGCTCTGTGGGTACTTTGGCCTTTGCTCTGGATCTTAGGTCTAGTCATGCAACTCTTCTTTTGCAGGATGATAGTATCTTTAGACCTGTCTGCTGGGTTCTTTCTGCCTTCATGCTGAAGAGGTGTGTGGGAGAAGGTGGTCAGGCATGTCAGTAGTGTAAATGACCTTTTACTGACAGAGGCACACTGGTGGTGTGTACTGGCAACATGCTCCAGCAGCACATGCATCTATTTCGGCAAAGCTGTGCCTCCTACTGATTGATCTTGTGGGAGCAGAAGGAAAGAAACAATACTTGCAGAAGTCTAGGTTGGGGGGTGGTGTTGTGTGTGTAACAGCTATGCTGGTGGACACCCAAAGTGGGGGTCCAATGTTAGCTATGGGTTCTACCTCTTCACATTCTAGTGTACATAGTCATGCCTGTAAAAGTCAGTTGTGTGCATGTAGCTGGGATGTCCTCTGCCACTTTCATTTCTGCTATGCAAAATCTCATTAAAAAGGTCCTTGAGCACTGGCTGAGAGAACTGTGGCACCCATGTGGACACAATGGGACTCAGAGACCCCATTAACTCAAGGACTTTCCCATAATCTTAGCAGACCTCAGGGAAGACCTACAGCACTTGGTTCCTGACCTCATACCAAATGTCTCTGTCAGGCATCAGTGAGGGGAATTTGATAGGATTCTCCTTATTCCACCCTTAAATGCCCACTGGTAGGTTGTTCTGTTGCAGAGACAACAGGACCCGCTGAAAGGCTATTTTTCCATGAGGTTAACTTCAGCTTACCGGTGACAGCTATGGTGGGTGGCTATTGAACCAAGAGTGTCAAAGCCAACATCTAAAATGACCTTTAGGCTGTTTACTCAAAGCAGTAACAGACTCGCCCCCGACTTCCTGATAGGGGCCATTACTTATCAAGAAATAAGAAGAGCAAGTGGCTAGATATGGAAATCATTGTGGGAGTGAGCCTAATTGAAAACATACAGCATCGTACAGATGTAATATTAATACACTGGTAACCTTTACCTCTTCTGTGGAATGTGTATGTACAAACTAAGCCAGGAGAATTACCAGGAATTGGGAAGAAAGAAATATATATTAAAAGCCCATTCCAAAACAAATAGAAAACCTTTTCTTGGGCAGACAAATGTGCATAATTTAACTCAAGTATCTCCCTAGGGCTGTGCCACATGCCCCATGATCCTTTTTCCTAGCTATGCAGTAAAGTGTCAGAAATCAGTGATTTTCATCTCACTTAAGTGAAACTTTTTAGAAAAGGAGTCTAAAGTAAGCTAAGGGATTAAGTAGACACTAAAAATTCAGTAAGCTCTTAACTTAGTAGCTAGATATGCAGAAAGTTAAGTAACAAGTAGAAGCCAATAAGACTGGTTTCCACTCTAACTTAGAAAGCTATATTAGGTTCTTACTTAAAAAAAAGTTTCTACATAATCATAAGACAAATATATACTTTAATATGTGCTTTAAATATGCTTTAAAAAGTGTTTGGAATTTTAATGGATTTACCTCAATAAGCTATATTATAGCATTTCACCCTCTCAAACTAAGCTTGTTTTATCTGATGTTTACCTGGTTTTGTTCAAGAGGTTGTTTCTCTTTTGATTAATTTTTCTGTTCATTTGAGTCAGAATAGCAGCACTGTCTAATCCCACTTTTGTATTTGCTAGAAAATGTCTAGACTGGCTAGCATGAAGGTTTTCATCCTGGAAGGTTTTAGTAAGATCCTTCTCCACTTGGTATATACGTCACGTAAGTACTGAAACTGAAAGTTTCAGATGCGATACAACACCTAGTAATAAACTGTTTCAACTTTTTTTTTTTTAAAGGAAAAGAAACACCATCTTTTGGCAGTATTTCCTCTCAAACCTCAGAGACTTGCTGATCTGCCATGTAGATCTGTACTGTGGTTGCAAAGTATCAAAACAGAACTCAGGATTTTTATATCTGCTCTTCCCACCCAGCACTCGCAGCTCCTTCCCCTTTCCCTGTCTGTTGGGTAGCTTCTGAAGGCGTTGAGGAGACAAGAAGGGACGCAGAACCGACCATTGGACAGATAAATGGACACATAGTGCCAACAACTAAGCCTTGTTTCTTTAGGAATGTAGCCTGAAAATGCCTTGGTAATTAGAATGGATTTGGAATATTTTATTTCTTGTGGGAAACCGCAGGGGTTTTGAGGGGAAAAAAAAGCAAGGTAGAAGCAGCTGCTTTCCATGCCAGATTCAGGAACTTACAAGTCTTCAGGGCAAATGACCCATTCTCTTCCTTAAGCTTAGGGCTTTTTTAATGTGACTGATGGTTTTCTGTCATCTTGTGTTGTTGTGTTACATCATGGGAACATCTGGCAATGATGCATGTTGGCCTTGGAGTCCAGTTGCAGCAAATGGTCCATGAAGGATAATGACATCCAAGCCATAACTCCAGTAAGTCACTGGGATGTTCAATTTCTTATCAAATTTTGGAAATTTCTTTCCAATTTTCTATGCAAAGCAGACACTTGGAGTGAAAAAGGTCATTTTGACAAAAATCCAACTTTTCACTAAAATCCGTTCTCTTCAGCACCCTGTCCCAAAATCTGTTATGTTCACAGTGTTCCAGAACAGCCTTGCCATCTGTCAGAAGCATTTTTAGGTAACAAATTATTCAACCTAACTGTGCCCTATCTTTGCCACACCAGTTGTGCGTGTCTTTGAAGTTCCTTGGGATAGATAAGCCTGAGGCTCCCCCATGCCTGCAGGAATTCCCCGGGTGCTGAAGAGGGAACCCCTAGAGCCAGGAAACAGAAATATCCTGAGGACATGGGTGTTTCTGAAGCACCAGCCATCTCCTGAGTAGAGATGTCTTTACCTACTACTGCAGAAAGCAAGTATGTTCCAGCACTGAGGTAGCGCTGTTTCAGAGAGGAGCTTATCTCTTGCTCTCCCTTTAAAATGGATCCTCTTTTGCATATTGTGTGTTCTGGTAGGAGGTGGGAGGTCACACTCAGACTCTTCCTGGCAAGATCCAAATTCATATTATCCACCCCCAGTTACTGCCTAAAACATATGAAAAGTCCTCAGATACAGGATTCATCTCTTCCAGCCATGTGTCCTAATCACTGGGCTGAAGATTCATGCCGTTTAGGATCAAAGCCTGTATTTTTGTTGCATGATTTCAGTAGGATAGGAGGGGAGTCCCCTGTCCAAAGCCCTGTGGTTAAGGCACCTTCTGAGGAGGTGAGAGACATGGATTTGAACTGATGAATACATATCTTATGCTTCCTTTCAAGAGCATGCTAATTACTAGACTATGATATGAGAAGCAGACGGTGTTGCCGCTATCAAATCAGTTACTCAGCCTGGGTTTTAAAAGAAAGTGTCCACAGCCGAGTTTGGGAGCCCAGCCAGTGCTGGATCAGTGTGCTGGTAGCTGTACTGCCTCTAGTGTGGGAGGTAGCCA